GCCTGCACTATGAATAGAGCCAGCGTAGGTGTTGAAGATCGAACGAAACTCTTCCATGCAGAATAAACACAAATATCTGTAACAATGTGGTTTAGTTGAGTTGTAAATAATATTTAAAAAAATACTATAAAAACCCAGTTTTCTTATTAAAGTTACCCTAAGAGTGGACGCAAGACTTACTAAGATATCGCGTAACTGCTGTGCGATTGTCAATTGTTTCGGAGCAAATTCAACTGTTTACTTGCAAAACTAAAAATGGAATAGTGTACTTCCATGAAAGCTAACAAGAATCAAAGCACGACTAAACTGTTGGGCGATAGTTTAGTCTATGATGTGCGTGCGTCAAAAACTCAGTTAATGGTAATTAAACGGCCCATAGTCGGGAGTTTTAAAATATCAAAATTCTTTATTTTAACATCTTAGCACGAATGGGCCGGTACGCCCGGTGTAATGCCACGACCACACAGAAGACAGGCGTGAAGCGGAATTCCGCGTTTCATCTGATAAATGTGGTGCCGGAGGCCTAAATTTAGTCTCTTTTCCTTTCCACCCTTTTCTTCAGAGGAAAGGATGGGAAAGAAAAGTGCATTTGACGGTTGAAAGGTGAAGGGGAAATGTCCTCATTATGTGCTTCTCTTCCTCCGTCAATTAAGGATAGGCAACGCATCTGCAATTGCGGATGTTTATGGGCAGCGGTCGCTATCCATTTCTGTGGATTCAGGTGGCCGCTTGCTAGTTTGCTACCTTATATTATAAAAAAAAAATCTCTTATAATCAAATAAATTTTTATACTTTAGTAAAAATCATTTGTACACCTGAATTCATTATAAAATTTTCTCTAATTATGTCTAAAAAATTATGTTACTGAAATATAATTTTTTGCAGTAAACCAGTTTGAATAGAAAGTTAAGTGACAAGCTTTAACATCCCCGGCGCTAGTTTAACAACTTTAAAGCCTTTCATGTTGCCGCCTAATTAAACTTTTGCTTCCATTTGAAAAGCACGACTGGATATTCTCAATTGCAATGCAATTTGTATTTATAACAGTTTGTGGACAAATTACTATAAATTTAAACTAATTAACAACGTTAGATTAAATTGTTTTCGTTGTTTTAAATCAATTTTCAATATTTAAACAAAAACTTCTCATCATCCACTTGCCCTTATCCCTTACGGAGGGTCGGCACAATATGTGCTGCTCTTCCATACATCTCTATCAGCCGTCATATCTGAATCCACTCCTTTCTTAAGCATATGCTCTTTCACACAATCCATCCATACTTTCTTCGGTCTTCCTCTTCCTTTGTAGCCATCCACATTCAATCTCAACACTTTCTGGTTTATGTCCCCATCGTTTCGTCGCATATGTCTATACCACGCTAACCTTTTGCTTCTCAATTTCTCCGCCACTGGCGCTACTTTCAAACTTCCTCTAATGTACACATTCTTAACTTTATCCAATCTTGTCACACCACACATCCATCTTAACATACGCATCTCAGCCACATGCAATCTCCTTTCATCCGCAACTTTTTTAAACAAAAACTTCTATTTTATATTTTTAGCAATTTATGAAGTGTTTTAACAGAGATGATTAACGACATCCGGTTTTCACTAAGATGAAAATATCTTAAATTTTTTAACATTCTTTTTGCTGTATTAAAATGGAATATTTGAGAAATTAAGTTGTCGATTTACTTATATGATATTTGATTTTATTTGTTGAAAAATCGTATGTAAAATTATAATTCAAGTTGTTTTTTATCAGTTTTTTAATTTATGTTGTAAAGCACAAGTCAAACGACAATAACACCCATAAAGTTAAGGATATGCCAACACATCTGACTAAGTTTGGATCTTATAATTTGAAAATCAATTAAGAAATCTCCCAATTACCTTAAATGTAAACATTTATCGCAAACCAGGTGAATCATGTTAAAAATAATTTAAACCAGAACAAATCGTTTCAAATACGTTTTTTAATAATTCTTTGAAATCGCCAAGCTGTTCAAATAAGGCGCAGATTTAGAAACTTAGGCACTCATTATTGGTAACTTAGAACGTGTGGGCCGAGACTTACAAAATTGACGTGGAAAAGATTACAGTATGAACGGTCTCCTTCCCGTGTTCTTAATACACGAAAAGCTATAGACATAACCCTTGTTCCCGCAAAGGTGATGCGTAAATTCTCCCTTGCTAATAAAAGGAACGAATATTTGTTAGGGTTAAAAATGAATCTTATTTAAGTACACGTGAACACAGTACAGTAAATATTAAAAATAAGATCATAGGATATAATAGAACAGCTGTTTTAAGCATTTAAGAAATATAAATCGTTAGAAAATGGCACTAAAACCAGAATTTATTTCTAACTTAGAGGACATTTTTTCATTCTTTAACATATAGAAGCAGGCTTAGTTTTGAAGTTATCGCTCAAAAAGGGTACAAATTGTGGCAAATTCCTTTCTTATCCCCAACCTAAATTGGTCGATAATTGTGTTTTAAAAAAAAAATTCCAGAACCTTTATTATCAAGTAAGATAACCTGTGGCAAAAAATTCTTAATGTTTTGAGTCACTAAAAGCGCAGTGTAAAGAAAGACTTTCTAGAGAACTTTAGCCATGTATATATAAATTAGCTTTTGCCCGCAACTCTGTCCGCGTGGAATTAAAATAAACAAAAGTGAGTAGCCTATGTGTTATTTCAAACTATCCTCTACACCTACACCAATTTTTTTGGCTACAAACTCTAACAAACATCCATCCATCTAAACTTTCGCATTTATAATATTAACATGAAAGTATTATATAATATGTAACTATTCTATTTAGTATTATAGAGCGGAAAGATTTGTAGTTTTGGTTTTCTGTATGTATTGAAATAACTCAAAAACTACTGGGCCGATTAAAAATCTTTCACCATTAGAGATGTAATTCATCAGTGAGTAAAATAGGCTATATTTTTAATTTCACGCACCGAAGTCGCGAGCAACGGCTAGTGTAAGTAATTATTTTTATGCTACATTCAGTTAAATACAAAACCTACTTAACGTATCCAATAATTAGCACAAATACCACGACCTGTTTTCCGCCAAAATGGCGAAGCGACCGCTGCCCATAGACATCCGCAATTGCAGATGCGTTGCCTACCCTTATACGACCGAGGAGGAGACGCACATATTGAAGATCTTACAATTTACACTCTATTTAAGAATGAACAGAGTTATCAAAGATAGACAGTAAAAGAATGGACACAGAGTTTGTAGTCTTTGCTAAATTGTTATAGCGTTAGTCACCAATACAAACTACCTCGGGTCGTATCCCTTTATTGGTATAATTTCACTAATAGATATACGTCAGAGAATCGTTAGCATTTCCGCTTGTTATCAAAACCAAACAGCACCAAGATTCCTACGATAGTTTACTCTGACATATAATTTTATTGTTTCTTAGATAGTTTGTATGATGCACGAACATTATCTGCCCACATACGAAGTATGCAATTGTCTTCCACAATAGTTATTGGGTATCTTAAATTTTTAACGATGTGAACAGCTGTGAAGTAAATCAGAAAGACAGAAGTAGATAAATGAAATTTGCGACAACTGTGTAAGTACATTTTTATTACGGTAAAAAAACATTTTTTTTTTAATATGACACTATTGTTAAGCTTTTTTACGAAACAATAGAAGTTCCATAATATTTATTTGAAAAGATAATAATTTACCTATTGACTGGTCGAAGAGTATTTAACATTAAAAAGAAAACAAACTCTACATACAGATTAAATATAGAAAGATAATAAACAAGATTCATCAGCCGAGCGCGCCGCGTGCACGACTTGGAAAGAAAAAAATATAATCTAGTGAGAGAACTGATAACAAGAATATATGAGTTGTCAAAGAGTAGGCAAAAAGTAATTATTATTCAGACTGTTAAATTAAAACTATATCCATCCATCCGTCCATTTTAGTTCCTGGTCGTTTATTACCCTGGCAATATTATATACATTTAGAATTATAAATTTGGGTTTCGCTTAAATTTTTTCGTCATCTTTATGTTAAAACTTATACATCTCGCAATGCTTACGTGTCATTATTTATTATTTTAATTTAGTTTTTACATTAAAAGATACGATAAAAAGTCTTACATTTTTAGAATTATTTTACCTTTGGTACCATCTAAGTCATTATTTAATCTATGACAGAGAAACTGTTCTTATCGTAACCGAAAATAAATATTGAATGACACTCTGGTTCATAATAATTATACGACACTCGTTTACAATGACTTGGAAAACGAAATAAATCACTTTAAAACTTCAGCGGGTTTGGAAACATTCCAGTCTTGTACAAATTAAGTACAAATTAGGGAGTCCTGGGTAAAGATGTAGGAACTATAAGAGATAGAATTTATATAAGAGTAAAGGCTCTCATATTATTGGATCTTTGCTTAGTACCGAGTTTAGATTTATGTTTTAAATTAAGTTTTATCATAGATAGAGATATCTACCTCAATAGAGGAATACCTAAATTGTCACCAATGTCACTACGATTAAAAATTAATCTGTTTAAAATACTTGTAGGTAAACATTTTATTCTTAAGATATCATTTTAATAATAAAACAGGACAGACGTTCATCTACGTTGCATCTCAATAATGAAGTCGAAGATGTGGGCTCGTGCGATGTTGGCACAAGTTTTAGCAAACAATTGTAAGAAAACGACGATGGCATCAATAAAATATACAACATTGATTCAATACATTGTGAATACTGTCCGATACACATCAGTTGTCACCTCGTATCTAATTCTGGTCTAAGATTTAAGTCTTGAACATCGTATTATTTAAGACGTCGAAGTACATCCAGGCATCATTAACCTCACCGCTGAACTGCATGAAAGCTCCAATATAACCACTGTCATTCTGTTAGCTGCATGTTATAATTTAAAATCCAGCTTTTTGATTTTCCTGAAATACCATACTTTCTTCTTTGTTTTACCTTTGCATTCGTTGGCGTCGCGCGCGGTGGCGCGGCCCCAGGGCCGGTCGAAGTGGAAGGGCTTGCAGCGCTCGCAGTCGCGTCCGGCTGTGTTGTGCTTGCAGTCGCAGGCTAGCTGCTGTGCCCCCGCGCCAGCGCCTGGAC